ATGTGGGTACTCAAATGAAAGCTCTCGATGAGTATAACATCGGAATGAGCTTATATCTTTAAAAATGTCAATATTTAAGAAAGTACAGTGTCATTAAATTTTATATGGCAATTTTTAAAATTTTTATTTAAAATTTTCAAAAAATATTTATTAAAAATTATTATTATTATAATAAATTTCTTTTTATTTCTCACCTGGTGCGGATGATGTTGGGGATGATGTGGAGGCAAGTGATGGTGGTGATAGTGTCCGCACTGATAAGGTACCCTGGGAGGTTTGGGCGGCGCTGAGGTCCCTTGACTGAGCGCAATTTGCGAGGGAAGAAGAATCTGCTGCTGTAACGCGGGGTCGGAGATGACTCTAGTGATTTTCTGCCTACCGAGGGACAGCGAGCTGGAAGGCGGCTGCTGGCTGAGGTTCCCTGACTGAGGGACTCTCGGAAGAGTGCTCGACTGGGTGTGATTCGACCCATGGAAGGGCCCGTGGTCCTCATGCTGCTGCTGGGGCGTCAGCGAATGGCTCCTCTGTTGCTTCCTCGGCAGACACGGCGGCGAGCTCGCTGATAAGGACGAGGAGGAGCTGAGACTGGTCGCTAGTGTGCCTGGGACTGATGTCGCGATAGAAGTCGTCGACGCCGCCGGAGCCACACATGTCAGAGGGACCGACCTTGGCTTCGGATTGACAATACGTGCTCCACTTGCTTGGCTTATGGGACGTCCGCTGCCCACGTAGAAGGTTATCAAGTCAGCGACCGTATCGAAGGCCTCGTCCTCGAATTGATATTGTGTTCGCTCATAGACTGTGTCCGCTTGTATTACAGCCTATTATTATACAACGTTTTTATTTTCTTTTTATCCTTTCTCTTTTTAGATTTTTTTAGAAGAAAAAAATTTATTTATTGATCATAATTATCAAATTTTTTTTAATGGATAAAAAAAGTCAAAAGAATATTAAAATAAATTTTTAATTAAAAAAAAATTTTGTCATAATTAAGAAATGACCTTGTATCTTGTGAACTCTTGACATTTTTAAAAATATAAGCTCATCCTGATGTGACACTCATCAAGACCTTTCATTTGAGTACCCACATCAATTTTTCATATATGTTATATATTTATCTATATTATATATATGTATATATGAAAAATATATCAAAAATGCATGTGGGTACTCAAATGGAAGGTCTTGATGAGTATATTGTCAGGATGAGCTTATTTCTTTAAAAATGTCAATATTTAAGAAAGCACAGTGTTATTTAACATAATTAAGAAATGACCTTGTATCTTGTAAACTATTGACATTTTTAAAGATATAAGCTCACCCTGACGTTACAATGATCGAGACCTTTCATTTGAGTACCCACATCAATTTTTCATATATTTTATATATTTATATATATGCGTATATATGAAAAATATATAAAAATGCATGTGGGTACTCAAATAAAAGCTCTTGATGAGTGTAACATCGAGATGAGCTTATATTTTCAAAATATATATTATATATATAGTTAAATAATAATTTTTTACTTTTGGAAATTCTGTAAGGAATTATTTTGAAAAAATTTGATTAATTTACAAAATTAAAGTATATAAATAAAGGAGAAGAAATTACCCTATTGATGACGAAGTGGAGTGGTTGACCTTTCCACCTGACAGTGAGGACGTAGTTACCCGGCTGAGATGCACAATCACGTACCAGAAAATCCCCGTCATTAGGAACCTCGGCCTCGGCGCCCTTTCTGCCTCCCCTCAGCGTACTTCCGTGATACCAGGCATGCGAGCGCAGATCTCTCGGATCTAGCAATCGTAATTCACGTTCCAATAATTTATGTATCGACTCATCAGGTTGCTCCTGGATTGACATAATTCTCATAAATTACTCCGCATTATTCATGCACTAGTCCTAATCAAGCTCTTCATATTTTTTTCTTCGATTTCTTACCATTTATTATTTATTTTACTTCTTTTTTAATCAAATCTTCTGACAGTTAAATTAAATTATGCAATTAAATTATTAGATAGTTATTTAACATAAAATTAATTAATTAATTTATTAATTTTTAATAATAAATATTTGTCAAGCAATTAAAAATTAAAAAAATTTTTTATTATTAAGAAAATATCATTCAAATAATTTTAAATAATTAAAATTTTAAATAAAAATTCACTCCAAAATTTTTGAATATCTTTTTTCGTATTAAAAAAAATTTTTAATAAGTATAATTAATTTTTTTTAGCAAATAAAACTTTGAAATAATTTTTTTATAGAAAAATTTTGATTAAATAAAATTTATTAAATATCAAAAAAATTTTTTTACAGCGCAAAAAATTAACTAAAATAAAATTCAATAAAAAATTTAAATTTACCATGGATGTATTGTTTAAATTTAGCTCTGTCGCGACTTCTGGTTCGGAATCGACTTTCATCTGACGTGGAAGACATTTGCCATAATAATCCTCTAGCTCCGGGTCTCTAATTTCCTCGTCCACCCTCGGTAATACTCTAGTAACAGCAATAAAAACTACAATTACAATTACCACTGTCAAACTCACAATCAATAACAACAACTTTAAAAAACCCTTACAAAAAAATTTTTAAAAACTTCGCTTCAAAAACCAAAACAGCTCCTCTGATATTTATTACAATAATAATAATAATTAATTATAATCAAATCAAATAATACTTGTGTACTTGCAATTGAAAACAATGTTAAATGTAACAGAAAAATTAAAGGGAATATCAGAGGCACCGACGAGCAGCTCAACACGCAGGGTTTGGTCGCGGCTCTCGAAGCGCGCGCGCACCCTACTGAACTCATCGGCCCTCGCACCGGCCCATCCACTATCCACTATCCACTACTATACACACCATGCATTACATTCATATATATACATATATATGATAATACAACCAGAGCCCATAACTATAACCATTTCGACGTATGCCCAACAAAGTAGAGGGGATTTGTACTTACACTCACTTACACTTGTAGGCATGTGCGTTTACAGCCCAGGGGGTGATATGAGTGTGAGTGTGGTTCATTTCTACTCTTCCATACGGGACTTGCTATCTTTATTCATTTTGCTCCTTTCACTCGATTCTGGTATGCTCGCTTACTCACTATCCGGAATCAACGTTTATATTATAAATAGTTTCTTTTTTTTTTTTCGCCGATTTAATAGTTACTTTTTTTTTGGGTTTATTCGATTTTTATTTAATTGAAGGTTCGAAAAAATTTTAGAACTTTTTTTTTAAGATAAAATGTAGTTTAAAAATTTTGGAGTCAAAATATTAATTATTTATTTATTTATTTATTATTTAACTTCAATGCCAAGGCAAAATTATACAAAAAATTATAATAAAGTATACTTAATTAAATTATTAAAATTTAGAAAATTAAATCGAAGGATTTAAAGATGATGAATAAATTATTTTAAGTAATTAAATAGACAAATTTTTTTAATAAAAAATTTTGATAAATTAATTTTTTTTGTTAGACATAAAAAATTTTGATAAATTAATTTTTTTTTGTTAGACATAAAAAATTTTAAATGAGAATTTTTAAAATAAAAATTCTGAAATTTTTCTGTTCGAAAAATAGGATTCACCCTTTTTTTGGCCATATCTAGAACAAAATTAACATTTAAAAAATTTTATTCTTATTCTTCTTGTTTATGTGGCGCATTTATGATAAAAAATGTCGTAAAAAAAAAAAAAATAACGATTTCGATAGATTTTTTGCCTTGAAAAGTTAGAAAAAATTTTGGCTCTTATGTTTTTGAATAAAATTTCTATTTCATCTTTTTTTGATGTTTTTGATATATTTTTTTTTTTTTTGAAAAGTACATAAAAAAATGAACAATTTAAAAAAGAAAAGTTAAATGTCACAACTTTCTAAAAAATTTATAAAATTTGTTAAAATTGTGATGATTAACTTTTTTTTTAAATTGTTCACTTTTTATATTTTTCAAAAAAAAATAATCAAATAGGAATTTCGTTAAAAAAATGAAAATTTAAAATGGTGAACCATACTTGTAAATAATTACCAAATTTTAAAATAAAAAAAAAAAAATATAAATCAAAGCTCTTTTTTATTAATAAAATTTTTTATTCCAAAAATAATCAATTAAATTTTTTAAAATAAAATTCCGGGCTAAAGATAGTTTATAAAAAAATTTCAAAACTTTACGAGTTAATTTTGGAGCCAATGGAATTAAAAAAAAAAGTAAATTAAGCTCAAAAAAAAATTTTAACTAACAAAATAATTAAAAAAAATTTTTTTCGACAATCTTAAAAATAAGAAAACACCTTAATAATTTAAAAAAAAAAAGTATTTAATGGTTACGTTACTGAAATTCTCTCCCTACAATTTTAATAACAGTGTTATGTGCCTTAGCGTTAGCCGCGAGGAGAAATAAAACGCGTGGACCGAGATAGAGCACAACAAAACATTCAAGGATCAGATTCATCGTTTGACGGCCGTATCTACTTTACCTCGGCTCCACAATTTTATTATTATTACTACTATACATAGTGATGTATTATATTAAAGATATACCGAGTTTATGAAAGTCAGGTATACAAGGATGTATATGACTATGAATACCGCTGTCAAGGATTTTCTCCTGACAGGTGAATACCAGCGCTCAATCTCCATTATCCCGGTTCAATGAACAGCTAAGAAAACTAATAAAAAAATATCCAGAGAACTCATCTACGTGGTACATCCCGTCGAATAGCGGATAGGGACAATATATAAATGTATATCTGTATATATAAGAGTCGAGTACGAGTTATTGATCTTTACGGGTATCTTGATGAACGAAATTTACTGTTTGCGCATGCGTTTTATTCCGTTCGATATAATAGTTGTATCTTTGTAGAGATTTTGTAGAGATTTTTTTATTTTAGAAAATAATAAATTAATATTCAGAATCACGCCTTGCGAAATGTATCTGCGGATCTTTCGGCTCCTTTAAAAAATAAAAATAAAAAATAAAATGATGGATTTATACGAACGGCTGTATTGAATGATAAACAGATGGAGATGGAGTCATAAGAATGCTGACGAAAGATAGACCTTTTATTATTTTTTTAAATCAATACTTATCGCGATTCTTTAATGTTTATTTATGATACTTAACACCTTGGAGAGAATTTAGTATTTAATTTTTATGTTGTAAGTATTTAGTTGGGTATATGGAGTGAATGGAGCTCAAGTTGTATAGAGAGATGATTAAAATACCTGTGTAAATATTTTCAGAGATTGTTTATGTAATACTCGTGAGATTCTACTCAGAGATTATTTTGGATAGTCTAAATTATTTTTAGATTGTGTTATCTCATGGGAAATTGTTTTGTTATCATTTTTTTGGAAAGAAATATTTTAGAATAGATTTTTAGAGAAATAAAATTAAAAAATTTTGATTTTATATTATTAAATTTATTAGTAGAGCTATTGAATAAATTATTTGATAAAAAAAAAATACCAAGCCGAGAATCGAACCTGGTTTTGTCCGAGTAAGAGTTAAAAGCGCCTTTGATAAATTTTTGACAAAAATTAGTGACTTCTAAAGGTCTTATATAGCTTTGTAAGATATTTAATTAATTTTTAAAATTTATTGGAGTAATTATAGAATTAAAAAATAATTGATAAATAGTCTTATTATAAAAATTAATAAATTCGTAATTTTATTTAGTAAATAAATTGTTTTAATATTAATTTAATTAAATCTTATCAATATAAAAATTAAAAAATTAGTATATTTTAATTTTTATACTAAATATAAATTCTACAAAATAAAAAATGAAATAATAAATGAAATCAATAAATTTTTTCTCAATCAAAGAACTACATAATATTTCTATTAAAATAAAAATAAAAATAAGTGACCGCTAAATTTGTAACGCGTGCGCGAACACATGGTGTGCAATCACAGATGATAAATTCGCCGTAAAACGGCTTTACGTTCGCCTCAATTAAATTCCCTCGTAAAAAGTAACAACTGCCTCGCATTATTGTTTTTATTTTGCAGTACGATACATTTAAATTAAATCGCACTTCCACTAAATCTCATTCTTTTATAATTAATAACTAGAAAAATAATTCTTGGTACTTAAAAAAAAATCTTAATGAATAATTATTAAGAGAATAAGAAAAATTTTGTGTCCAGGATAGTCATATGATATGTATTTAGGCTACATTCAAAAATACTCTACTTCTAGATACATAATTAAGAAATGACCTTGTATCTTGTCAACTATCGACATTTTTAAAGATATTAGCTCATCTTAATGTTACACTTATCAAGACCTTTCATTTGAGTACCCACATCGATTTTTCATATATTTCATATATTTATATATATTATATATATGTATATATGAAAAATTGATGTGGGTACTCAAATGAAAGCTCTTGATAAGTGTAACATCAGGATGAGCTTATATCTTCAAAATATATATATTATATATACGTATATATGAAAAATATATCAAAAATGCATGTGGGTACTCAAATGAAAGCTCTTGATGAGTGTAATATCAGGATGAGCTTATATCTTTAAAAATGTCAATAGTTAAAAAAGTACAGTGTAATATCAAGAATAACATTTTTTAATAATTAAAAAAAATTAATATTTAAATAAAATAAAAACTAACATTTTAGGGCTCCGAAATTTGCTGGATACTTTTCCCATGTTGATTAAATTACCGACACATTAACAATAACAATTAATAAAGAAATTAATGATAAAAAATAAACTACTTTAATTGTTTTAAATTAACTGTCTTAAACAATTAAATAAAACTCGCGTGTGAGCAAAAAAAAAGAAACACTTTGCTTAAATTAAACAAAGCAAGTGTCTGGGATTTTAACACTTACTTACTACTTATTACTTGTATTATGCAACGCAGTATAAAATCTAAAATATAATAACTAGTCGAGTTAAGTATAATAACGCGATACAGAGTAACGAGTACTGTGATATGACTGGGCTTGAACAGTCTACGCAGGCATTATTATACATATGATATTATGTGTATTATGGGTGCTCGACGATACAATATGATAAAAAAAGTAAAGAGTAGAGTGGAATATAGCATATGGCGGTTAAATGGATGGCTAAACAACTCGAGGACAAAGAATGAGCATGTGAGAGAGCTTAGAATAAATGTAGATAGTGATACTACCTGCACGTGTGTGAGATTATGTGAATGGTAAGACGTAATGTCAAGCTAGGTATGTGCAGAGTGGGAGTCGCGGGTCGGAAAAAAATAAAAAGCAAGAGTTTAGAATGCAGAATAGTGTGTTTGTGTTTTTGCATACTATTGTATTATATGTCCAGTTGTATTTATATTGGAAGAGGCTGTTTATGCTCACGCTAACTCCACGTGACCGAGGATACTCGATATGATGCTTGTTTAATTATTTAATATCGCTACTGCAAGCGAGGAATGGCCAGAGAATCACGACTAACAGTCAGCAATTTAGTTTTGATTTTATGCCTCCGTTATTCTGTCATCGGTTTTATGCAAGTGGAATTTTTATGGATCGTTAATGTTGAAGAGGAAATATATTGCAGCGGGATATAATATGAAATTTTTAGTGTTAAAAGGAATTAAATTGAGGAGATGGGAAATTGAAAGTCTATTAAAGCTACACGGAAAAAAGTAAACTGTAATATTTACTCGGATTCCGGTTAGTTTTTATAGTTTCAAACAGTAAAGCGGACATCGGGGTGGCAAAAATGTAAATATTACAGAACTTAATGTAGAAAGTATAAAAGCCACAATTTATAATTTAATATCCAAAATAAGTGATTAGTAGTTGTCACTATAGTAAATAACAACTCTTTCATTTTTAAAAATTACATTTTCTAACAGTAAAAATTGTCATTTCAATATATAGTCCATATTATGAGGAGAAGGAGAACTCAGATGAAAGAGAAGGGGGTCTCACTCTGGGAGAATTTAACATTTCAAACAGTAAAAATTATACTTTTAAAATATACACTAGTATACGTTGCGCGCGCAAGCGCGCGTGTGAATGTTAGTATGGGATTATCTATATTTTCATGCTTATGATATATTTAACCAATCACGTTACGAATGGTTTGCTCTTACATGATATATTTTCATATTTTTCATCAAAATTATAAGAGTGGACTTTACCATCAGTCTAAGCAAGTAAATAATTACAGTTTGATTTTTAGCGTTTTTATTATACTTTAACATTTTAGACATTTACATAGCGAATATTACTGTTTGAAATAGTATTTTCTTCCATGTAGAGAGTAAATTGTAACGTTTAAGGAGGTCCTTTCGCCGCCAATGCAAAATAAAAAATATTAGATTATGAGTAAATTAAATTTTTTTCTAATAGTTGAAGTCCTTATTTATCTAATAGTGAGGTTTAAATTATACTTTACTGGACAAATTTTTGAAAAAATGAAATTTTTAAATTTTAGTATTTGTTCAGAGGCTTCCGAGAAAGTCAGACGTTTGCAGTATTTCTCGAATTATACTATCAGTCATGGATTAGATGAAGTAAAAAAAAACTAAAAATTAGATTTTCGAAATATTCAGGTTTCTTTTTTTGCAATAAAATATATCAGTTACCGAGATATTTATTAAGAAAATAATATTTAAAAATCACAAAAAATTCTCAAGTAACCTACATTGTTAATATGGAGTTAAAATATTTGGCAACGTTGCGTAGCGCGCGAGCTTCAGACCATTCAATAATTCAATAAATTCAAACTAATTTATTTATTTACACTGACTGCAAAAACTTAAACGTGTTTAAGGTTATAATGTGCAAATGAAAATGTAAACAACCGAAGTACAGCGTTGCCAAATCACGGACAGGTTACTAGCAACTGATTTGAAAGAGTCAAATTAATTTTTGTATTTAACTATTTTTTTTTTATTTTTAAAACTTCAACGATTAATGCCTCATATACTATTTATTATTTAATTTTAGGAATTTTTATGGGTTTTTTATTTTAATTTATCGTATATTGACTACTACAATTGTTTTGACTCAACTGGAGCGAAAGGATTTCCTTAAATTGTAAATATTACAATGTGAATAGTAAAGTCACGCTTTTACTGTTTGAAATGGTAATTTTTAGCAGTTGATCATTACTTATTATAAATCGACTGTTATTTATTACAGTTTACTTTTTTCCGTGTACTAGATTCTTTAAAAGGACATAAAAAGTCCAAATTTTTGGTGAATTAAACAAATAAGGATCAAAAAATAATTAAATACATCAAAAAGTATTTCAAATATTGAAATAATGTAATTTTTAATAATTTGCAATTTATTAAATCCTTTTCAATAGGTTTATCTTTTATCTCTCGTTCATTTGTTCGAAATATAAATTTATTTGTAATCCTTTTATACAATATAAGACTCCAAAGCTTCAATACTCGATAAAAAAAAAAAAAAAACAGTTGATTTTTGAGTTTATTCCCAAAATTTCTCTCTAAAATCAATCCCAATTTCATGGAAAATTTTGAATTGCAAATTATCAACCATTTTTGTTGCTTTAATAACAATTTCTTAAAGATTATTCAAATATTTAAGGTACGAATAACAAAAAAAATTACAGTGCAATCACTTAGGCCACTTTATTGATCTCCACCTCAATTACAGTCAATATTACAATTCCTTACGCGACCTTACAATTCCTTATACATAATAATTATTATTTATTCTTATTACAATAATATTATCTATTTACGAAAACTCCAAAGATCCCTAGACTAGTCTTAAAGTGCGTAATAGCACATTTACAAAATATCAGTACAAGTACAAATATTACATTATTATTCAAAAGTTCAACACAAGGAAAAATTTTTGATTTTAAATGACTAGTTACTTTCTTTTCTTCTGGAAAAATAATTTAAGACCCAAGATCCAGACACTCCAACAATTAATTCCTACTTTTTATTTTTTTTTCATACAAATAGAACAATTTTTATCCGCGAAAATTAATTTTGAAAATTTTTCAATTTATTGCGGAGTAATTGTTCATTTATTTTTATAGAGCACTTTTACCTGAAATGTAATTATTATTATTATTATGAGCTACTGTAGTACAAAGAGTCAATACTTTCTTTTAATTTTAATTAAAAGCTGCAATTTTATATTTTTAATTTCAAATTAAATTTAATTTGGAATTAATAATAAAAATTGTAACTCTATCATTGACTTTAAACACAGATTGACTTTGAATTTATATTACACAGAGTTTAATTATTTAAAGACCAATAAAGTGATAATTAAATTTGTAATTAAAACTTTAAACATAACAAATTGGAAATTTAATCACAACTTTGATTATTCAATGTACAATTAATGGTATAATTATTTAATGATAAATCTCTGGAACTATTTCTAACAAGATGAATCAAAATTTACTCATTTATTAATTTATTAATTATATAATTAAAAGTTACTATTTATTAGTCATAATTGGCGTAGGAACTATCTTTTTTTTTTTTATTTTGTTTTATCTTTTATTGATAAATTATCAAAGTTTATATACATCTTTGCATATTACTTTGTCGAGTAGGTATAAAAAATCAGGTATAAGTTGTGCATAAGGATCATGGTGAATTTATATTATTATTTATTTATTTATTATTTTATTACAATTACGATAGGCAGGTACGCTAATTTCAGTAATGTTTCTTCTTTTACGCGTGCTAGTAAATTGGTAGTTTTTTTTTTTTTTTTTTTTTTTCAAGTAAATTATAAGTTGGTAAATATTTAATCACAATTTTGTTTTAAAATTCGGTATTAGTTTTTTTAATATTATGATTATTTTATTATTATTATTTATTTAAAAAATATTTAAATATGGAGCTTTTATTTTTAAAAAAAATTTATTTAATTTTTAAATAAATATTGAAAAAAATTTATTTATTTAATTTTTTAAATTTTTTCAATAAAAAAATTAATAAAGCTCCACAATAAAAAATATTAAAATTATTTAATTAAAAAAATATAAAAGAAAAAAGAAATTTTAAAAAAATCACATTGAAAAATTACTCAGCCTTATTATGGATAAAAAAAAAATTACAAAATTTATAAAACAATTAATTAAATCAGTCTTGACCATTAAGAATAATGTCAAATAATTGGGGATAAAAATTTTGATAATTATAATTAAATACTTTGATTACTTGATGATATAATAATGAATAATTCACATAATTCGGGACATAAATTTTCAGTAATTTCTCACCGAACCCGTATTTAATTAATAATTAAAGTAAAGATATATATGTGAATAATTGCACATATATTACAGCCAAATACTTCACTGATCCTCTCACCCTTGGTTCCACCGAGGCATGACCCTCTCAGTCCGTTCATTCCTTCAATATTCAAGTATTGAATGTGATAAGTGATAATTGATAGTATTCATGATTACAGTATATTCTTATATTTATCGAATATATCGAATTTATCTATTACTTAGAGGAGAACACAAGCTGTTCCATGCATGACTTCGGCGATGAACATCGGAGTACCAGCTCCTAGTCCGCCGTCAGTCTTTTCCAGCTCGTCTTTGTCGTACTCGCAATCAAAGTAGTGGCTCTGCAATTTTAAAATTTTTATTTTTACTCTAAATACTCAAATTTTGCCTTAAAAACGATAGATAGATACCAAGAAATTAATAAAGACAATTTTTTTTATAGAAAATTAAATTTCCTACAAAAAAAGATTGCTTATAATTTTTTCCTATCTTCAATATTTAGCCCAAAATTCAAATATAATTTTATTTTATTTCACATGAAGTTTATAATTAATCTTTCTTTTAAATTATAACAATTTAAAAAAAAAATTAATTTTTTTTTCTGAAGGTTAAAGTAGAAATTGACTCGGCCATTTTTACGGCATTTAATTTCTATTTTTTGACAATTTTAAAGTAGTGAAATTTTTTTTACCAACTGCAATTTTTTAAAAACTGATTTTTATTAATTTGTTTAATAGAAAATTAATTTTCCAAGTATCAAAATTCAGCACAAAATTTTAAATTAAAACTTTCTAAACACCTGATTTAATCCAATAAAATTTAAAACCTAATTTAAATTGAAATGCCGGCTAATTAATAAATAGACAAAAAACTTTTTTATAAAAAATTAAATTTCCTGGAAAAAATTGTTTGTTATAATTTTATTCTATCTTCAAAATTTAACCCAAAATTTCAATTTCAATTTTTCTAAACACCTGATTTAATCCAACAAAATTCAAAACTAAATTTAGAATTTAAATTCCTGCTGATAAAAGACATATCTTTTATCCTAAAAATCTACTTTAAAATTAAAATTCCGGCTAATAAATAAATAGACAAAAATTAATAAGAATCTTTTTTTATAGAAAATTAAATTTCCTCCAAAAAAGCTCTTATAATTTTTTTCTATCTTCAATATTTAGCCCAGAATTTTCCAAATTGTTTATTTTGTCTTCCATTTTTAATAAAAACAACATCTAAGCTTATAAATGTAATTAAAAAAAAATTACACTAATCTATTAGATCGTCTAATATCGATCGTAACTATTTTTTCTATCCAGCAAGTTCTAGAACAAATAACTTCCCGTCGAGTGGCGTTGCTAACCAATAGAAAGGCTCTAAATTATCGCCAGTCGAAGAAATATTTTTTCCAGAGTTTGATTTTTAATCAAACCAATCGGGAATCGATTATTAATTAAAAAAACAAACAACTTTCACGGCCGATTAACATTGAAAACAACTCATTATCGAAAAAGCTATAAATAGGACTTGGAAGTGTAGAAACCCGATAGCCGATAAATATTTACCTGGCAGTCTAAGCACCGACATTGATCACTCATCTTGCAGGTGATTCCGCACTGCTTGGCGATGGCGCGATACAGCTCCTTGCTGGACTTGTGGAGTATCTCCGGGCCCTTGACGATAATCTTGTTGCCGACCAAACTGGCCTCACCCTCGCCGCTCACCCTGCTTACTCCGGATGTCAGCATTCTGCCCTTGCTGCTCAGTACCACACTCTCCGTTACAGTCACGTTGCCGTCGTTTTCAGCCTCAGCGAACTCCTCTTCACCCTCTTCAACTTCACTCGGCGTGCGTCTCAACTGTGTCTGCAATTTTTACGCCGACCGTTAATAATCTGATATGAGTGGAAGACTACAACAGACTCTTTACTTGATTATTATTCGCCGCTGATAAAAATAGATTACCTCTTGCAGCACGTGCTCGTAAGAGGGAGGCGGAGAATTTGTCAGGGGGGTTTGCGGCTCGTTTGGAAGCGACATCACGTTGAATTCTGTTCCGGGAGTACCGGGGTTGCTCGCTCCTCCGAAATCTAAGCTTGATCCCACGTCTTCGTACTCGCTGCTGTCGCTTCGGCTTCCTTTGCTTCGGGATTTGCCCATTTTTGAAAATCGAAACTTGAACGGCGCCATTTTTTAGAGATCTGGAATTTTTGTTTATTGGATAATTTTTTTTGCACGAAAAAAATGGAAAAAAAAAATTTCTAAACCGAGAAAATTAATTTTATTTAAATGAAAAAAATTTTTTGTAGGAAAAAAAATTAATTATAACAAATAATAAATATTAAAATTTGGATTTTATTAATTAAATTGAATATGTAGATACATAATTAAGAAATGACCTTGTAACTTGTGACCTAATGACATTTTTAAAGATATAAGCTCATCCCGATGTTACACTCATCAAGACCTTTCTTTTGAGTACTCACATCAATTTTTCATATATTTTATATATTTATATATATTATATATTATATATATTTATATATGAAAAATATATCAAAAATGCATGTGGGTACTCAAATCAAAGCTTTTAATGAGTGTAACGTCAGGATGAGCTTATATTTTTAAAAACGTCAATATTTAAGAAAGTACAGTGCAATTTAATGTAAAGAAACGTCCTAGTATTTTGTGAACTATTGACATTTTTAAAGATATAAACTCATCCCGATGTTACACTCATCAAGACCTTTCATTAGAGTACCTACATCAATTTTTCATATATTTATATATATTATATATATGTATATATGAAAAATATATCAAAAATGGATGTGGGTACTCAAATAAAAGCTCTTGATGAGTGTAACATCGGAATGAGCTTATATCTTTAAAAACGTCAATATTTAAGAATGTACAGTGCAATTTAACAAAATTCATTATTTAATAAAGCAAATTTTTATTTATTTATAGTTAACAAGTCATGGCAGTCACATAGTGACTGCAAGCTTGCTAGTTTTAATTAATAAAAAAATTTAGCAAGAATTCTAGCATATTTCATAATTTATTTTTCGTCTGTAAACTTTAGGAATTTTTATCGATAATTAAATTTTTTTTTTCAATATAGAAATCCATTCATTTATATTTTAGTGTAAGGTTTAATTATAAAATGGTAAATTACTTAATTTTACGGTTCATAGTATTTCAAACTATAAAAATGATATTTAAATTTTTTTTAAGATCTTTTTTTTTTATTAAAGTTTATTAATAATAAAATTAAGATTGAAATATTATATAAGAGACTTTTATCGCTTCAAAACAAAATTTTTTAAATTGATAATATTAATCTAAGGTGAGAACTATAAATTTTATGTGGTTTATAATTTATGTAGCACAATATTTCCTCGGTTTTTATCAAAATAAAGAAATGGAAATAGAACCGACAAAACATTGTACTGAATAAATTATCAACACCGCAGAATATTCTAAATTTATGACCTGTTTTTGCTTTGAGATTATTATTATTATTATTTGATTAAAGATACAGAACTTAAAAAATTAAATTTATATAAATTACCGGAAAAATTCAATCGGAAGATAATTTTATAAATATTTATCGTAAAAAAAAAATATATATTTAATTACAAACATATCAACAAGCGCAACTCGCAGAAACTGGCTAAATAATCATTAAATAATAATAATAATAATAATTAAAATGTAATAATCAATAATATATGAATACAATACGCAGAATTAAATATTACTGATAATTAATATTACGCTCATGTTTATGACATATTTTAAATACAATTGTAAAGTGTCAAATTACAATAATTAAACTTTGTATTAATTAATTAATTAAAAAAAAATTACATATATTTTTTTTCTACAGAAAAATCTTCAATTGAAATAAAAATAAAAAAATCTCATAATTTTTTCGTTGAATTAATTAAACATAAAAAGAAGAAAAAGAAGTTTCTATCATTAAAAAATAATTTTAATGATTAAGAATCTTAAGTGGTTGTCATTTAAAAAGCAAAAAAAAAAACATCTGGGATTTTCCAAGGACAAGTTCTTCTTTTAAAAGTAGACGTGTCTCATAATTTAAATTAATATTTTATGTAATTAAAACTCTAGAGTCTTGACAGAGAAAATTAAATATCAAAGGGATTTTTCTTAAAGTTTAATTTTTAATTTGTAATCCAAAAATTTTTCCTTATATATATTTTAACGTCGACAAGTCTCATCATTTATTGATCGTATCGTCGCGCAAGCTTTGCCAGTATTTACAAATAATTTATTTGATTGCAACAAAATAAATACTCACCGAATTTGTCAGCAAATCAGAGACTCCTTGAGGATAAATAGAGCAAATATTAAGGACCCGTGAGGCTGGAGGCTAACGACAACTCTCTTCCCAGAAGGAGCGCAATTAGTTAACTTCCGAGACCAAACACTCGGTTAATTCACAACAAAAAGCCGGATTGTAAAGGCGCAGTATCTCTAACTATCGCCATACTGTCCAGTGAGACTTGACGACACCACGCGGCTAAATATTGAAACTGTTGGGGTGGATTTCCATCCCCGTGTTGGAAATTGTCGATATATAAAAAAATATAATGAAGTTTTTTAAAAAACATTTTTTTACTTAAAAAATTAAAACAAAAATTTTGACTTAATTTAAAAAATGTTTTTTGATTTTTTTACGCTAAAAAAATTTACCCTAGTCAAGAATTTTTTTTCTGTGAAAAAATGTAAACATAAATTAATATTGTACAGAAATAAAAAAATTAAAACATAAAAATTATTAATATAACTTTTTTTTTTAAATAAAAAACCGGTCGGGTTAATAAAATCGGGTAAATGCGCGTGAGTGCACGTGCACGTGTGACTCTTCTACGGCACAGATCAAAATAATAATGAAAGTAAATCGGAAACAGTAAAGTGTAATTATTTCTCGACATATTTTATTACTTCCTTTCTCTTCTTGGAAGCTTTATAAATTATCTCTTAGGATATTTTCAATCATAATTATAAATTAAGTATATTTATTAAGGATATCAAATTTTATGTAGCAAATTTAATTTTCTTTATTTAATTAAAAAATTTTAGATTGATTTTTTGAGCAGAAAATTTATTGAATAAAATTGACAGTTTATTTTTGTATCGAAAAATAAATGAATTGGAAATAATTTAAAATTGATTTTTGAAATAATTGTTCAGATTAAATCGTCAGTACATTTCAGTCTTTGATTATCCTATGGAATTGTTTTTGCAAATCCATAAATGAGTAAGCGCGTAATTTCCACTTCAATTATCGTTACAAATTTAAAAAAGAGATTTTATGCGTCAAAAATAACTAAAACTCAACGGCAAAAAATATTTAGAGGCTTTTAGGTTTAATATAAGACTTAAGCTGTCAATTTTTATTTATTTTAAGGTTTTATATGTATATATCTGTAGCTAAATTCGCGTTTTACAACGCCATTAAACGTTAAGATGAAGCTTTTCTTGTTTTTAAATATTAAAACATAATTTAAGAACCAACTAAGTAAGAATATTTTAAAGTTTAAGAAGAAGACTTGCTAAAAAATTCAACAAAGACCTTCTTGGTTGAAAATTCATTTATTAATAATCAAAATTAACAAAAATTTTTCTCTAAAATCAATTATTAAAAAAGATTAAGAACGCATCTTAATTTAGATAGTGATAAAAAAAATTGATAAGTAATTTAAAAAATTATTTTTGTAATTAATTTTACTCTCTTTACTTAATTCAACAATTGTCTAAAGAAGAAATCAATAAAACTCTTCAAAATAATTTTTTTCTCTCTTCAATTTAATTTTTGAAGCGTGTGTACATACCTACGTACACTAAAAAAATTATTTTGAACCAAGAAAATATTTTTTAAGAACTCAAATCATTTTGATTTGCGTAAAAAAAAAATTTTAAACAAAAATTTTACTCTTAACAATTTTTCTTTAAAAAAAATCAATGAAATTCTTCAAAATAATTTTTTTCTCGCTTGAATTTAATTTTTTAAGTCTATGCTTACACATATGTGGAATAAATTTAGTGGTTAGAAATGTCTGGTAGCATTTACTTGGAAGTACGAAACAGGAAAGAGGTTGGCTGTCGTAACAACTGTGAGAATTGACTTTGGAGTGTATAGTAGTCTAGCTGAACTGGGTGGAGATTTAGTATTATATAGAGCTGTGTGGAGTTCTATTGTGCTTTTGAGAGCTAACGAGAAACCCGAAGAGAAGCTACATAACACATAACACACCCTGTATAGCAATAGCAATAGCAAGTAAAGCACTACAATGGATTCGAGAACAAGTGTAAGGCAGCGAGGTGATTCTCTGGCGGAATTCCGTCGAAAATTACTCCGTCTCGTCTGGGCCTGGCTCAGTCCAGCGAGTTTGTCAATTAAAAACAAAAATATAAATAAAGACACCTTAAACTGGGAAATATTAAAAATTAGTAAAATAATTAGGACGACTCGGGATTAAATATCAAAAAGATAATTCTAGGAAAAAGATAGCGACGCTTGCGCCACTATCAGCAAATCGATTCGAAAGGATGATGGAACAGTAGTTGGAAGTGAGGAAGCGAGGCAAACCACCCACAACACTTTTTAAGCTCTCGGTTGGAGGGGGTGAGGGGGTGGGTGGGCTGGGGGTGGAAGGACCGAAGGAAGACTCAAACACGGCATTAAAGCTTGCCCAGTGACTACTCCGGTGTGTGCGCGAAATATACCAAAGCTTGTATTGGGGCACACACACCCACCCAACCAATGGAACACGTAGCGGGCGAGCTCACGTGCAGCTCCAGTCATCCTCAGCCAACTCTGCGGGCAACATCCGCTACCAGGCTATTGATATAACAAACACGGCCAGATCATAACTCAACGTTTATTTACCTCAAGGGTCTTTACCTTCGATGTTACATTATAATTGTTTTTTTTCGACCGACCTTTATACAGGTAATTTTTTTTTAATAAATGTTTTGGTACATTTTTTTTTATTACAAATTTAAAAATATTGTGAATTAAATTTAAACAATTTTTTTTTTTTAATTTGATTAAATTTTTTACTGTAAAAAAATTTTTTTTAATTATTTAGAAATTTAATTAAAAATAATTTAGATTTTTTTTTAATTTTTTGACTTCATTTTCATTTTTTTTAATT